CAAAAGTGCGAGAGGGGGCAGGTATGGAGGAAAACGTCTCTCACCTGTGCGCATTTCGTTGGCCTACTCTCGCCACGACTGCCGGATGCTACGCGGCGATCGTCCGGCGTGTCGCGTCGCGGCACGTAGTCGTTCCGCTCGTCGTCAAGTTGGATCACCGTCGTCCCCTCGGTCGGTCTCTTGTGCATCGTCTTTGTTCGCGTCCTCGTTGTCTTCGGTGCTCGTGATCGTGTTGCGCGTGTGCTAAGAGACGGCCGTCAGTTCGCGGTGGGAGATTGTCGCAAGAAATCGTCAAGATCGCCTGTCGAGTGACAGTGTCGCGTGATATGATGGTGACCGTCGCGTCGAGTACGTCCCGATGATGATCCGCGAGTCTGTGTCGTCGAGCGAAATAGGCAGATCGACGTAGAGAGAGAGAGAGAGAGAGAGAGAGAGAGAGAGAGGGAGGAGGCAGGGAGAAATGTCATATTTGCACGTCGATGCACCTGTCGAAACGCTCGCACTACCGTCTCGTCGTGCTGTCTCTAACCGGCGCAGTTCCGTTTCGTGGCGACCGGTGCCTGGATGGTTAACGTGCCGGCGCGAATGAGCTACAGTTAGCAGCAATGTTTCACTTTGTCGGCTCGCTATGAATCTTATTTTCTCATGGCTGATTTAGAATGAAATCTTATTAACCTTTGATGCCCGCGCGTGTCGATCGAGATCGCGAATTGGGACTCGGAGAATTCGATTCTACGGTATTGCTGTTGAAGATTAAAGCGATTGTAATTCAAGTTCGCAACGTTAAGTAAGTTCGCAACGAGAAGTTATTTGATCTGATATTAATAGATGAATGGTAACTCTTAACATGTACGCCGTGAATGTGGATTAAGTTGCAGTGTTTTCGAGGAAGATAAATACGTTTTATTAAATACGTTATATATAGTTTCGAATACGCAGGCACACGTGTACGCACACGACGACGACGACGACGACGACGACGGTATGTGTGTATGGAAATGAACAGTTACAGCTCGCGGACGAGTTGCAACTTGAACGTTCTCTCGGTCAGAGCCCGTGAACGAAGGGGACGGGCGGAGTGAAGGTGATACGCAGGTGATACGGTCTTGCGAACCGCGAAGAATGTCGATCTACCGATTCAGCAAGGGAGGCAGGTTGTTTGTGCAAGGCACGCGGGAGGACGATGATCGCGACGGTGTTCCATCTAGTCCGACGCAGGATCCACGCAGCGCCGACGATCTGCGAGCTCTGTACACGAAGCGCCGATTGTCGACCGAGGTCTTAGGTAGAGGCGATCGAGATCGCGGAGAAAAAGCTGGAGAGAGGATTCACTCTGACGATTACTAGACGAGAGAATGGTGCTGGTCGGGTCCGTAAGGGAAAGCGAGAGAGAGAGAGAGAGAGAGAGAGAGAGAGAGAGAGAGAGAGGGAGAGGGAGAGAGAGAGAGAGAGAGAGAGAGAGAGAGAGAGAGAGAGAGAGAGAGAGAGGGAGAGACAGAGAGAGCCGGTTTTATTCGCATTCATGTAAAGTTGGAAGTAAAGAACTCGCGGTGATGTAAATAATTTGACCATTAATTAATTGTAAACAGTTTTTAGTCGGTGAACACTTTGCTCACAGTGACGAGAGGATAATTGACACGAGTTGTATGCCATTTTTTCCCGCATTGTCGGTGCAGTTCGACTACGATTCCGAGTTACCGCAACAATGCCGGCAATCGCCGGCATCGATACATGGCGTGTAACCATCTCGGCTCGGTTTCTCCGTTGCTGCTTGCTGTCCTTTCTCAGCGTGCTATAATAAGCTGTTACCTCATCGCGTCTACTTAAGAGTTCTACTCGTTCGTCTCGTAGCAGAATTAAATTTCGCGGTTTACGGAGCGAAATTAAATGTTAATGTCGTTTAAACGCGCGCGCGTTTAATCGCGCGCATCAACGCATCAACGACCATGTGTGTTTTTTGGTTCGCCGGTAAATCCGCCGGTTTGGCGTCTAAATCGTGTAAATTAGGACTTGCAGAGAGAGAGAGAGAGAGAGAGAGAGAGAGAGAGAGAGAGGGGGGAGAGAGAGAGAGAGAGAGAGAGAGAGAGAGAGAGAGAGAGAGAGAGAGAGAGAGAGAGAGAGAGAGAAATCGGCTTGTGGATTGTAACGTCAAGTGAATCCCCTCCCTCAGCTTGGATCGCGTGAAGCCGTTGTTCCGTTGTCAACGGGACACGTTTCGCTCGATCGTTCGCATCGTTCGCTGGCGTTGACGTAGGTTCGTCGATCGAGTCGACGAAAACGTCGAGACGCGGGGAGAACGGCACCAAGCGTATCGTCACTCGCATCGTTCGCAAGACGACGACGTTGACGCGCGGTGAGGAGCGTAGCGTCGCCGAGGACCTAACGAAACGCGCCTATCCCAAGTACCTGCAGGATGCCAGTTCGTCGACGACGGCTATAACTCGGCATGCCTCGACGAAACCGAAAACTGTTCGGGTAAGCCGCGCGTGTCGCGCGTCGCGCGAGTTTGTTGTGCTTCTTGTGTTCTTGTGTTACTCTCATGATCGTCGATTAAAAATCAGCAGGAATGCGTACGAATGTATTCACGCTTGAAAATAAATCCAAGCACGACGATGACTCCACGAATGTTTGCGAACTGGCGCGGAGGAATTCGCGTCGCGAAAGTCGCCGTTGAATAATCGCGCAACCTAAACACCACGCTCTCTCAAAAGGAACGAACACACTCTCTCTTGTCGAGCGATGGATGCGCGTCGCTTTAATTAGAATCGGGACGCGCTTACAACGACGATACAACACTCTCATTGGTAGGCCTCCTCGTGGCTCTATTACCGTTCTGTCTCTGTTCACACCCTCTCTGTTGTGTCATTTTTTTCCTCACGAAGGAGAGATATTTTCTTCGTCAACACCTCTGGATCGCCAAAGCCGGCCAAGGACGGCCATATTCCGCGTCCCGGCGTCGTCACGGCAGGACGAGGAACGAAAGCCGACGTGGTAAAAAGTGGTTCTTACTTATTCGTCGATCCGCTTTCGATCTTGGTTCGTTAGCCAGACCAGACCGGATTATAATCGGATAGGTTCGTCAGCTAGGGATTTCAAAGACCGAGAGTGGTAGCGTTCATTAATACCCTGGAGTAAAATACTCTCTCTTTCAAGACGTGAAATACTATGAATGAAAGAAAGAAAATGATTGAAGGTATGATTGAAAGAAAGAAAAGTTGAGTGTTACAACAGTGGCAGTTGCAATCGCTACACTATATTACATATTTAAAAAAGGAAGAGTTTATTAATTTGGAACTAGGGTTCCAAATCACGAGAAAGAGGAGGAGTTTTCTCACTGTATTTATATACCGAAGAATATACTTGTGTCTTAAATCCACGCTTTCTTTCGGATTTTCTCAAATACATATCAAATTATATGCGATATTCTGCTATTACCGATGAACTATATCTCACGCGAGGCACAAACTTTTGACTCGTTTGACTTTTCACTCTCTGCTGCAGCAGCCTTTTATTATTATTTTTATTGCTGCCGCCATTCGCCGCCGCCACTCGTAGACTGAGGAAAAACAAATGGCATCATGGTCAATGGCAAGATATGTAAGACGACGTTCTCTAGTGTAGCGTTTCCATATTTAAACGCGCGAGAAGATGCCGGTACTGTCACTAACGTCTATACTCTTAGCGCTTTTGTCCATGTCAATGGCGACAAGTTTGACGTCCGTCAAACAGACGTGATCTCAGCGTGATTTTCATGCGTCCCACTGCCTGCCAATATTATGATATTTGTCTCTATTATCTCAAGTAATTACTTAAGTAAGTCGGATTTGGTAGGCAGTCAGGACGATGATATATCCTCTGTCCTGGATTAAATCCGTCCGGGATTGATCGAGCTTCGAGTGAAAGGATCGATCAATCTCTCTCGTCATCGCGATTATTGTCTTTGACCACGGTGCACGGGAAGAAGTTTTCAGTTGGTTTGTACAATGGAGAATGTAGAGAGTAAGTGAAAATCCGTTGGCGAGAAGTGTGGGAGTATCTCTCTTACCGCGATAGGAAACATTCGTCGAAATATTCAGCCGTGTTCGTTCAAAATTCGTTGATTTTGAAAATTCATCCACAAGACAGTTGCTAACAATGATCTGCTTGGGAATCATCTTTCTGTTCCTACAATCATCAAGTTCTCCTGTCATCTGGTCTCTGTTCTTCCCGACGAAATGGAAAAATCAGTTACATCAGTGAAATTGTCTTTTTCCTTGTAGTTTACCGGAGTTTGAGTAAGTTTGTTCGGTAAAACTGACATAAAAACG